CTGTGCTTGTTTTGGAGACCGGTGACGAGCTCGAAAAGGCGTCCGAAATGTGAAACGTGTGCCTGATGGAAAACAATTCCTTGCCTTCGTATTTCGAGTTTTCGGATTAATTCCATTTTTACAAATGTGTGATTTTACTGTTAAATAGACGTCTTTTGTGCTGGTTGCTACAGTAAGCTTTTATCGTAACATGTAACAAATCAAGCATGAAAACGTATACCTCAAAAAGCTGATATGGAACCCTTTTTTCTATAAAAAGAAAAAGACGCATGAAGCATAACGACTTGTACATTTTCAAAGGAAAAAAATAATGACAATTTTGTTAGAATGAATTTTTTTTTAAAATTTGAAAACTTTCAAGCATAGCGTTGATAATATCAATGCCGCTTTTTACAAAATGGCCATGCTCAATATATTTAAGCAATGGACCGCATTTTCCAAGGATTTACTAACGCAATGAACCAACTCGGGATGTTGAAAGAGCTCAAAAAAAGCTTGTAAATCTAATCCTTTTGTCGACTAGTATATATAGGCTTTTCCATCGAAAGAATAAAAGAATACTGAAAATGAAAAAAATGAAAGCATTGAACCCGGCCAGCAAACAGGTGATTTTCCGATTTTTCGTCATGCGACAAAACTGGATTTTGTCGTAAGGGAATCAGGAATCGGTGTAAATTTCTGTCTGAAAAAAAATCTTCAAGATTATATTTCGACCAATTTCTCTAGTGAATGTTAAATAAAAAGATATTCCCGTTTGAAATATTATGCCTGCCAGTGAAAGAGGAAACTCGTTTTCTCTCAAGTTCCTTCACTTCCACTGCGGGTGGCAAGAAACTTCATTTCAGTGGTCAACGCTAAGTGTTAATAAACTGATAGACCAAAAGAAGACTAAAAAAATAAGTCGGGAATTCTTTGTCTTTCCACGTAGTGCTGCCTTATCGGTAACTGGGTGGTTACCGGGACAATGGTAATTGGTTTCACCAATCAGAGCACTCGGAGTGTCTCTGTTTTATGCAGTTTTGTAGATCTTGGACTTCTATTGTATACTTACCAGATAGTTGTCATAAAAATTGTCATTTAAAAACTTTTTTTGCAACGTTAGTAATTAGTAAATGGAAATAACTATTACGTTATTAATCGTTTAAATTCGTTATCTCTAGTTCTGTCGCAAATGTAGCTCTGCCATAAAAAGAGGCGCGGGGACCTCATGGTTAGTGCGTTCGCCTCGGAATCGAGCGGTCCGGATTTAAGCTCTAGCCGGGGATATTGTGTTGTGTTCTTGGGCAAGACACTTAACTCTCATAGTGCTTCTCTCCACCCAGGCGTATAAATGGGTACCGGCGAAGGTAACCTTGCGATGGGTTAGCAAGCATCCTATCTATTGAAGAGTGAAAATATACCTAGTCGCTTTATGTTACAGAAACCGGGATTACCTCCGGCCTGATGGACCACTTGGCCCGCGTGCAGACTTTACCCACCTACCTGCAGACTCTACCTACCTATAAAACTATGCGATGTTTACTTCAGTAAAAAGTAACGCTACTTACATAAGAGATCGACAGTTACTTCATATAAGCACAAAAAAATTGCGCCAGTTTACGAGCACAATTTAAATTATATTTTCTCTGATAATAAGGACTGTACTAAAGTACGTGCAGAACAATTTAAAAGGCCATAAAAATCTCTGTTATAAATCACTCGTACTCAGGAAACATACTGCCAGCATTTAAACACAATCCCATACTGCTCTCGACATTTACTTGCAGGGGATCAAAGCATAACTTGACCACTATTTACTACGACATCTACCACTTACTCTACCACTGAGAGGCAATAACCGTTTTAGTTTCACGGTTAGTTTTTCTCATTTGTATTACAATATAATCCAACGGGGATGCCAGGCAATTTCGGCCTGAAACTACAAAATAGCCCAAAATTACCTCGCACACATGCTAGTTGATATTGTATTGCAGATGAGAAAAGTTAACTGATAAAAGGGCTATTGAAATTGCGAATTTCGTTATAAACGTCCTGTTAGGGAGTGAAAAGGACATTATTTACCCTGGGGAAAAGCGGTACAAACATTTTGTAAATTCCTATTAGCCTAAAAGTTGTCAACGCGGATTCTTCTTTATCTCGTCCGTACATTGCACTGGATTAGTTTGTGCCCGAAACATCATCATTTTCAACTGGTTGACGTGCTGTCGCCAGCGCTTGAGAGGCACTCATGTCCTCATAGGCTTCCTGTAACTGCTGGTTGTCATTCTGATGAGCAACCTCGTTTTCATACTTGACATCACAGTCTTGTTGGTTACTGTTCTCTTTATGCTGATTACCTGGAATGTTCCGACTGTCCATTGCACCACTGGACGTATCTTGAAGCATTGGCAACCCTTGAGGGAAGCTCATGTCCTCATAGCCTGCCGCTGATCGCTGCCCGCTTAAATTTTCTCTTTGATTGTCTACAATGTCCCGATTTGCACCAACGAACGATATTTGCCTGTTATTGAAATCTTTGTCGTTTACAATCCTGCAACTGCCGTTATTTCCCTCTCCGTTGCCGTCATCATTTCCCTTTCTGTTGTTGCCCCTTTGCTGGTTTCCTCTTTGTCCGGCTAGGTGCAAAGCTTGGTACCCGCCATCATTTCCATCTCTGTTGTTGCCCCTTTGCTGATTTTCTCTTTGTCTGGCTAGGTGCAAAGCCTGGTACCCGCCATCATTTCCCTCTCTGTTGTTGCCCCTTTGCTGATTTTCTCTTTGTCTGGCTAGGTGCACAGCCTCGTACCCGCCATAATTTCCCTCTCTGTTGTTGCCCCTTTCCTGATTTTCTCTTTGTCCCGCTAGGGGGATAGCCTCGTCCCCGCCATCATTTCCATCTCCATTGTTGTCTCTTTGTTCCTCTCGGGGGTTAGACTCGTACCCGCCGTTATTTCCCTCTCCATTGTTGTCTCTTTGCTGATTTTCTCTTTGGTCTGCTAGGAAGTCAAACTCGTACCCGTCGTCATTTTCCTCTTCATTGTTGTCTCTTAGCTGATTCGCTAGAATGTCCCGTTTTCGCCTGAAAGAACATATGTATTGTGGAATTAAAAACAATACTAAATGGTGTGTACAATAATGCAATTTCAAACCTCTACAAGTAACATTAAAAGGAGAGAAGAGGAGCTTATGTATTTAAAATAAGTAGAATTCTACTTGCATACTAATGCAAATGCTGCATTCTGATAGGCTGAGCTTCTTGGTGCACTATTTAAGAAATAGGAAACATGTACCGTGTTTCTATCGAGTTTTAGTATAAATCTTGTAGAGGCAGGATTTATGTAAAATCTTTTTGGAGGCAGTGTGGCCAAGTGGTTAGGGCGCCGGACTTGAAATCCGGAGGTCGCGGGTTCAAGTCTCGCTCTGACCATTTAGCTGGAGTTGTTTCTTGGTAGACCGTAGTTCAACTCCTCGGTCATGCTTGTAAATGGCCGACTGGTCCGCCTCCCGCCAGTTGGGATTTTTAACCATGTTATGTTCATTTGCATTATTTGTTTCATCATTTGGTTTTATTGGCCCTGAAAAGCCCCATTGGGGGAATGGTCAATTAAGATATTTATTTTTTATTTAATCCTCTAACGTTCTATCACGATGCCGTTCTTTTATTGGCTACCCTACTCACTATCTGTTCTGTGAATCTCACAATTAACTAAACCAATGACGCTAAACCGCGCATCAGAATCAAGAGCAATTTGAGGAACAAATTACTGTGAAAGTCTTATAAGCAACTACATCGATTGGGCAAAACCTGAAGGGCCTACTAGCTGAATATAGACAAGTATTAAATGCTAAAACAACCTTCAGAAAGGTAATTTACTCTCACCTGTACCAAAGAGCCACAACAACTGAAACAAGTAAAATGACCACGACAGGAGTTATTATTCCTATTGCTATTGCAGTATTTTTGCTCTTTCTCTTCTCTTCCTTTTCCACTGACTTAACATCATTACAACGTGTGTCCGATGATGGAGGAAGATTATTTACAAGGACGGTTTTGTTGAGATGTTTACTGATGGAGTTAGCTCTTTCCCAAACAATATGTTCCAATGTAGTATTCAAGACAACCAACGGTTTTGAAGATGATACTGGACGAAGAATAACTACAAAGTCCACTTTAGTATGATTTGAAGGCGACGCCACGGGCTTCCCAATGATAGTAACTTGAGTTGCACTGAAGGCAGAGTTATTCAGGAAACAGGGACAGAACTGCTTTGAAATTGATTCATTCCTGTATAGAGGCGAAATCACTATGGTTAAAAGCACATTTAAGAGCTTTCAAATCCCTCACGAACAATCGTTTGGTTTGTCGTATACATCGGCTGTAGATTTCGAGGGTTGATGGCTCTAGATCTTTGCGCCTTGTTGCCGAACTATGATAAGTTTACGTTTAACTGCTTCACTTACAATAGAGAGGTTAAGCATGACGTTTACGGCAAACGGCAAACGGCAAAAATGAAACTTTTGCCGTCTCTCTTCAGCAGTGTGTACAGCAGAGTGAAATTATTTGTATTTACAATGAATAGTAGGAGACGTTATTCCATTTTTGTGTGCTCTATTTACGGATTAGAAGAAAAGAACTCAAAATCAGAAGTTATCTTTGCCGTTTGCCGTCTGCCGTTAACGTCATGCTTAACTTCTCGAATGAAGTTACCTATCGCTCAACAAAAGTTGTTTAAGGTGCAAGGTTGACAGCAGTTTAAAGCTCTTTCTATCACTTACACTTTTTAAAATGATCAATACTACCACTCTTTCTCACGTAGAAACCTATTATACCACAAAGATTACCAGTGCTGGTTCGCCAGTTGCTGGATATTACTAGAGCATCACTTGATTAAGAGATGTCGTATAGCTGTCGTAAGAGTGCTGGAAACTGTTGCCATCCGCCTTAATAGGAAGTAGCGTTAGGTTCCTCCTATGTTTAGATACACGTTATGGTATTTAACACTTCGCTTTGAAAAGAAGATGACAGGGTATCAAAATCCTTTAGTGGATTGTGTGGTACAGGGTGCTTTCCAAAAGGAAATTCGCTTCTACAAATATATACCAGCATATCAGTAGCTACCTCAAGCCACAGATGTCTCCCTTACAATAGTCGTCCAGCCCTCTCATGATTGCTTGTTTAAATTTTTCTTCTTCCCACTAAAATGAAAAGACAAAACAAAAGAGTAAGCACATGAAAATGAAAATGTGATCGATGGAGCGATGTATTTACAGCACATTACCGTTTTACCTGAATACGTGCCTATTGTTTTAGTTTCACCACCCATGTAGTGACCCACCCATATATACTTTCAAAGAGTTATCAAAAGTACCGTTCAATACAGTAAGCTTGACATAGGCCCCCACTAGATACGTGCAGAACCTGACTACTTGAAATCAAATCAACAAATGACTGTACCTCTTTAACGTTCATCTCCAGGGTGATGCCAACAGCACCTGCACCTAATCAGTAAGAATAACTGAAACCTAAGTAGTCGTAAGTAGTAACCTAAATAGTTAATAATGTTGAAGCTACTATAATGTCCTGCAATGTCCCATCGGTATTTGAAAGGATTTAATCTATTCTATGTACATGAGCTACATGTATGTGATACTTCTATGAATTGCTGTCTATTTTCTGTGTTGCAAGTTAACAATGCAACTCGTGTCGGCCGTTATGCACTCAAGTATAGTGAAGAAAATTATATAAGCTAGAGATCTTTCAAACCCATAAATCAACAGTATATCTAGTATAGTATGATGATAAACAAAAATGAATCAAGAATAGTTCAGTAAGGTTGGAGAAGACTGAGGTTACGTTCCTTTGGCATGATCCGGATCAGGATCAGTGATCCAAGATCACTCGGATCATGGTGCATCAATGGAGCTGATGAACCTGTGACCACAGTGGATTCATCGGCTCCTTTGATGCACCATGATCCGAGTGATCTTGGATCACTGATCCTGATTTGGATCATGCCAAAGGAGCACATCTTCAGTCGGATTAAGATTGACAGAATTGAGCAAAGCAAGTTTTTCTTCATGTTTTGTGAGTAAAGTAGATCTTAATACTGTCAAACAGGCTGGAAGGTTGACGCAAAGTTAATATTTACTCACCGAGATACAAACCAGTCTTTTCCCGCATAGTATTCACCGCAGGTGCAATCATCAGCAAACCTTTGGAAGTTAAAATAACATGTTCCTCCATTCTGACAAGGCTGGTTGCGACAGTTTGTAAAGTTTGCTGGAATTTAATTGAAAAACGTAAATTTCAGCCATTAAATCAATCAATCAACCAATCTATTACTGAATTAATCAATAAATCGTTAATTCATAAACTTAGAGCCTAGAAACTTAAAGGAGGACGCACAATTAAATAAGGTACTCCGGTGAATGATTTAGAAAAAAAAATACTTAAAGCTGTAGACTGTTTCCTGTCATTGCATGTATCTGTGAAAGTCATTACAAAGTTGATTAATCTGGGACTTTTACTTTGAGATGTTAAACCCGAGTTACACGCATGAATGCCTCTGAACAAATAAGAGTTTTGGTATATAAATATCCATTGTAGAAATGAGACAGACCCTCTTGGCAGGAGTAACCATCTTCACGTAACGCTGTGCCGTTAGGGCATCCACAACGGTATCCATCTGGAACAATGAAACATAAATGGCCGCAACCACCGTTTCCACGACTACAGGGGGAAATTACTGAGAAAGGAAGAAAACAATTAGTGTGCATATAAAGTAAGGGACTTGTACCGTCCAAATATAGGTAGGTTGTGATGGAGTTACGGAGGTGCAAGACCTTCGCCCCACCCCTCCCCCTCTGTAGTGGAAGACTGACAAAAACAACAATTTTTAATCATGGGAGATCTAACTAAGCTTGTTGTGGTAACGTGACCTTGTTAAAATGTTCGTGGAAAAGAAATGACGCAATTATATTTTCACCATTACTATTAAAATCCCAATTTTCCATTGAAAAAAGGGAATATCCAAATTCCCATTTTACCCTTTTAGGGACTTCACAGTCGTTAAAACGGTTTGGTCAACTAAAAACCAGTCTCTTGCACAAGTGAAATATCAATACACACAGGAGCTATTAGAGTGGGTTTCAAGTAAGTGTCGTAAAACCAAAACCAAACCAATTATTTACCAATTATACTTCTAAGCCAATCTCAAGCCTTAGTAAAACCCAGACCAAAACCAAAGTAATTGCCAGATTACTCTCGACACTCAATTGAAAACCACTCTATAATAATAATAAAAAAAAAAACGGGTATAGAATTAGCAGGATTTCCCGCTCACCTGGAGGCTGCCTCGACTCGTGCAACAAGGTCAATCCAAAAAGATCAAGGCTCCCGATCATTGATGAAGTAAATCTGCGAATCTCTCTGAGGCTTTCCTTGTCGATCACTATTATGGACTTTGCATTCATCTCCAAATCCGTGATGTAGAGCGTGTTATTATAGAGTGCGACAGCAAAAAGACGGCTATTCTTTATGGGTTCCGATATCTTAATATTGCGTCCCTCCAGGTCGGCTGTTCCAACTACATTCGGCCCAGCATCGACCCAGTATATTTTGTTGCTTGTGTAGTCTACTAAAACATCATTTGGATACTTTAATCTGGTAATGATTGTATTTGAAATAATTGTAGTCCTTTCTTGTCCTGCTAAGGTAGCTCTTTCTATTTTGGGTTTATCTCCATAATCTGTCCAGAACATATACCTAAATAAATTTAAATGATTTGGTTAAAACTGCAAAAAGCCCTCCTTCCCCCGTACCCCTCCTGAAAAGAGATTAATAGCACGCTGTTAGATTCTGGCAGGAATCAGTGTGAATGTAGAAAAGCAATCTGCTTACTTATGACCACTTATAGACATTATTATTGGACGCCCATGCAAATCACTAATTCTTCCTTCTTTGCTTACTAGTTGGTCTATTTCTAAACTGAAGCAGAGCCTTATTTCAAGTTTATTGGGTTCGTCAGGCTTTTTCTTGGGGAGTATCCTCTACATTTCGCCTGGTGTCTACTGATGCTCTTGACTAAAAAGAGTAACCTAAGCAGGTCATTTTCTGATATACGCTTGTATTTGCTTCAAATTCTGATCAGTTCACAAAAATACCCAGTTAGAAAAGCGTCCATAGATCTGGCAAGCCCTTTGAACGTTAATTCCAGTAAAACGGCAAATAATAAGCAAATAATACAGAGTACTCAATACACAAAGGGTTAGCCTCTATATGTCGATGGGGGAGAAGTGGAGGGTACAGCATTCTATCACAAAGTAATGCGTTAAAATCAAGCACAATCAATGAAATTCTCGTATCCCTGCAGGAAACTGATTTCCGGACTTGCTACTGTTCTAGTCGCCGATAACAATTCAATAATTACAAAATCCTTACCCATGGACTGGATCCACAGCGATTCCTCTAGGATTCTGAACATCTCTGTCAAAAAACACTTTTCTGTCACTTCCGTTACCACGTGACATTTCTATCCTGCCGTTGTTGTTATCCGTCCAATAAATGTACTTGTTTACCCAGTCTATAGCTATATCTTCACAGTAACCAACTTCGCTTGCTACGTCTTCGATTTTGCTTGACTTCAGATCAATCCGCTTGATAGTCCTGCTAACCTGGTTACTAAAGTAGAGGGTTTTTTCTTCCATATCCACTGCTACGGCAAGGACCCGGCCATCATGGGCCTGCAGTTCAGTTACGTTTGAAGAAATTTTGTTAGAGGACAGTTCAATCGACTTTATGACTCGACCAGCGCTAAAGTACAAACATGGAGGGTCACATGCTGGATAAAGAAGATAATAAGTAATGATCATGATTACAAAAATTCCAATACAGCACTTGCTACATCATCATGTTACATAGATTAAAGGAACTAAGTCACAGTTTGCGTATCTTGAAAAGTTTAGCCTAATTTTTTCGAGTTCGTCGTTGGTCAGTCCATATTAATCATCTCCATCCTTAACCATCCTTGTTCCTTTCTGGTTTATTATTATCTTTGGTGTTTTTCTATCTTGGTAAACTGTTGTTTTCAGGTTTCCTTCAATTTAAAGGCATTTTTGTTCGTGGCAAAAAAAAAAAAAAAATCAAAATACCGTGACTTAGCTCCTTGAAGTAAAAAGTCGTCAAGAGCCTAGTGGCCACAATAGCTCGAGATTACAGCTCGGTTTCCTTTGAATATGTTGACTTAAAGTATTGCTATTCACCCGCTGTCATTGTCATCTGCCAACTGCTGTCAACTAAAGGGTTGACGAGGCACATAACAGTATGGGGTTGACGACGCACATAACAGTTGACTATTATTGATTATTATTATGGGTCGTCCCAGAGACTGTTGCAATGAGTACACCAAAACGAGCAAGTGTTTAGCTTTTATCACTATACTGTGTTTAATTTTAGACTTTTAATACATTTTAGAGCTTTGTTTTTTCAGAGGACCCTCCTGAAAAACACCAATAGGTGATTGAAGGCCTCCTCTAAGATATTAACTTATCATTATATTATTTGATTGGCTATTTAAGCAGTCACAAGTACTTGATCTTTTGCAGTTTTCTGAAATGATTAGCATAAATGTAGAATCTTTCGGAACCGTAATCAGGAGAAGCAGAATACTATACCCTGGCTCAAGGCTCAAAACCCCAGCTTTCAAAATTCCTCACGGCACAATTAGGCTAGCCCTATCAACGTCAAGTTAAAAACCTTCAAATCATTTGCTATCTCATTCTCTCCGTATGGAAACTAGTAGTTTCTATTATTATTATTGTTATTATTATTATTATTATTGTTATTATTATTATTATTATTATTATTGATGTGAAGTTTATATGAAATAATTCATATATGAACTGCGGTTGTAGATGAAAGTGAAGAATGATCATCGCAGTTAATTTTCCAATTTAAGCAAT